GTGCTCAATGTATAGTGAAGGCCATCGACAACCCTGCTTTCTCCACCATCCACCGCTATATCCTCATCATCTGCCTCTGAATCCTCCCTCGCCCTTGCGTCTCCACTGGCCACGGTTTTTGGCAGTACGTCGCCTGTCCTCCGTCTTCCCTTGTCCGACTCTCGCCCTCCCCCTCTCATCCTCGAGCTTTCAGCCTTCAGCCCGCCGCCCGCCGCCCGTCGTTTGACCCCTCCCCTCACAGCCCCGAGCAGAACTACGTCGAGCGAATGCTGTCTTACGCTCTCCTCCTTCCCTTGAAGCCCAAGCAGCACTACGTCCAGCGGCGCTGACACGAAGCTACTGGCCAGCTGGTGACCACGTCAGCCCAGCAGCGAGGCCAGCAGCAGGACAATTACGAGTCGGCAGAGTTTCCCTTCATCACACTGCGCACCTTTCCGTCGGGCTTCATCACGCATATCGGTGAGTTGGGACGGGGGTGGAATTGCAACACTTTGTGCATCCACTGAGTGTGCGTCTTCACTCAGTGTGGAGCGATTGGGGTCATTGGAGTGATTTTTCTTGAATGTGCCGCAGTACCCGTAACCCTCAGCTTCGCCATGCTTGAGTTGGACTTCCGATGTATATGGGAGCTATGTTGTCAAATATTTGATTAAGCTAAGTAGCCTGAAGCAATGGGTGGCCAGTGTGATGTTCGCCGCTTGGTGTGATATTTTAATTTGATTCTCTGTTTCGCCTAGCTCTCTCCGAATCACTTTGTGTACACCTATGTTGACTGCTCATCGCTCCGACTATATCGCCGTCCTACTTGATATTTCACGTCGTCGTTTTAGCATCGTTTCCGGCGCAAAATGAACTTAGATTCTAAGGTCATTTTGCGCCGACTTCTGTAGTCGGCGCGCCCTAAAGCCCCAATTAGCAAACAACCCCCTTCCATCCGACCCCTCCCCCAGGCGGCACGGTGAGCGCTCGCTCTGTGAAGCTTCTCGACCGTATCCACCACCCGGAGGAGAGTGAGACGCGAGACGCCTGGTGGGCTGAGGTACGGACGGAGGTCCGCTCGCACTGCAAGTCATTAGCCTGCAACGTCGTGCTCGGATATGAAGAGGCGACAACTATTTGGTGAGGAACTGTGGCGTGAGATGTGATCAGATGTTTGTAGCAGTGATGATAATTAAAAACTTATTCTCTCGCTACTTTAGATCACTTACCACAAAGTGATGAGCGAAGTAAATAACTGTCTTGCAGACGGATACCTAAGCTCAATGCAAAATCAGTCCGTTTGTAATTCGCATTTGCTTGTTCATGCGTGCAAAGACTAACTGACAGACTTAATGTTGCCATAAAGGCTGTGACCCATAAAAAACGGTCTTTCCGTTCTCCCAGGGATGACGCATGTGTGCTGAGCTGAGCGCCTATGGCACGGGTCTGACCTCCACCCTTCCCCCTCCTCAGGGATGACGTGTGTGTGCTGAGCGCCTATGAGACGGGCCTGACCTCCACCCCTCCCCGTCCCTAGGGATGACGTATGCGTGCTGAGCGCCTACGGCACGGCAGCCACGGTCAACTTTGCCGCGCTGGGTCTGTCGGAGCCGCTGGCGGCCGCTCGCTGTGACTCCCGGGAGGTGCGGTCGGCACTGCGGCTGGACGCCAGTCTGACCAGTCAGGTACGAGCGTGGTAAATCACTATCAGCCAGATAGGAAGGTGGCGGATAAACTGACCATTCAGTTACGAGTGTGACTGCTACACAGAGCAGCCCAGGGACGAGTATGACGAATAACCACCTAGCCGGATATCGAGGACGCTGCCAGGCCTATTTGTCTGGTATGATTGTAGTAGTTTCCAACTTCAGTCAGGCACTGGCAGGTCCTTCCGGCAGCACCAGTCTGCCAATATTACATGTCCGCCTTTTACATTTGGGCGATCCTTCCCAACCAGCCGACGCCATTCATGTCCTATCGCCCGTGCTCTCGCCACAGGCGCTGGTGATTCTGGAGGAGCCCGACTCGTCGGTTTCCAACTGTGCTCCGTGTCACCTGCCCTACAGCCAGGGCAGCGCGCCCGCATCGGCGCTCCAGTTCAACTGCGCCGTCTGTAGGTATGTACGGGTCGTCAATAGGGTAGTATGGGCTGTATGCAATGATGTGAGGTTTGTAAGAGGTTTGTAAGGGCCGTCAGACAAGGGAAAATACATAGGTTAGCTGAACGTTAGCGCACTGAAAGTGCAGGCGCGCCATTCCCAAAATAGATCGGACCATGCATGTATATACGAAGCTGAAGGGCTCTCTTGTTCTATTTGCTTTACATCTATAAAACGACTGACCAACGTCAAGACCAATCCATTGGAGCCAGTGCGGCCCGTCTGCAGTTTCCGGCTGCCTGTAACACCCGATGACTGATGGCAACCCGCGGAGCTCTGACCATACCCTTCTGGTCATCATTCCAGAAAGAGCAAGGTGCCTGACGTGGTGTTCAGCACCATCGAACCCCCCGGGGGTCTTCCAGTCACCGGCCGTGGCTGTCTCGTTCAGGTGAGCGGTGGTGCGGGCCGTGTGATTGGTTATTGAACCACCGGGGGATTGCCGGTTACTGGCCACGGCTGGCTGGTCCAAGTAAGGGCCGTTGACGCCGGATGACGGCATATCAATTTATAGCGATAGTTAAATCATTAGCGGGGTCAACTAGAAGACGGGTCGAGATCTCATCTCAGTGAATGGGTCACTTTCTATAGCTCTAGAAACACTTATGAACTTTCTTTTCTACTTGCATATCATTTCAGTAATATAGCCTCCAAAGTATGCGATTTCTTGCAATTTAACGTGCCGCGTCGCTGCCTCGCCCGAGTCTGTGTACGCTCTGTAAATGACGAGCCTTTTTATTTACACCTGTTCTCCAGGCCCGCGTGTGTCGAGAAAAAGCCGACGTCAAGTCTGAAGTTCTGGCCAAGGAGGTCTCCGACCGACTGCCGTTCCTCGAGTACGAACTGCACCGGCAGCTGCTCACCAAACTCAGGATTCTCGGCATGAATGCGCTATTTGACCTGACGGTACGTTGGAAGTTTGATCTGACATGAGCGAAAGGCTGCTGTTTATTTAGGGAAAAGGGAGCGTAGCTGGAACAATTTTTTTCATTCCCGAAGCATGATCTCTCTCTCTCTCCCCTCTCTCTCTCTCTCTCTCTCTCTCTCTCTCTCTCTCTCTCTCTCTCTCTCTCTCTCTCTCTCTCTCTCTCTCTCTTTCTCTTTCTCTTTCTCTTTCTCTTTCTCTTTCTCTTTCTCTTTCTCTTTCTCTTTCTCTTTCTCTTTCTCTTTCTCTTTCTCTTTCTCTTTCTCTTTCTCTTTCTCTTTCTCTTTCTCTTTCTCTTTCTCTTTCTCTTTCTCTCTCTCTCTCTCTCTCTCTCTCTCTCTCTCTCTCTCTCTCTCTCTCTCTCTCTCTCTCTCTCTCTCTCTCTCTCTCTCTCTCCCGCGTCCCCATGTAATCTAACCCTCCCTCTGTTAACTGTTTTGTGTACACAGATTCAGCTGTCGATTGGTGAGGAGATTATGGTGGCTGTGGCCACAGCGACTGCCGTCTACCTGTCTGCCCTGCCGCCGCCCGTGGTGCCTCGTGTCACATCAGGTCAGTGGAAGGGCGACAAAGTCGTGGGAGGGATGTCTGTTTTGTATTTATGGCAGAGTGTCTGTCTCTTTTTCTGACTGAGTCTGATAAGATTTGCATGTTTTTTTTTACCTGTTTGTCTGTTTGTATGCTTGTCAATGCCTATTTCTTAGTCGAGCGATATCTGACCTTCGCGTCTTTCTGCATCAACAGCCGTTAATGACAGCGCCGACCGTCTCGCCGAGACGCAGCGTCGAATCACCGAGACTGTGGCCAGTAACCGGGAGGCGTTCAACATCTCCGACCAGGTAGGTGTGCCCCTCACCGCGCTCCCCACGCCGCTTTGCGCCTCAGGCGTCCATCGAACGCCCCGTCCCGCTGCCAATAGACGCCCGTGTCGATCATTGATTGGAGCCAGCGCGACGTTATTAGTTTTGATCCAGCGGCCTCAGGCCGGTATTGACGGGCGCATTGAGTCTGGGTTGGGCTCCCGTGAATGAGATGAATAGGTGGCATGGCTTCTGCGCAGCATAGAGCGCCGCACGACGCTCACAGATTTTATCAAAGGACGGAATTGCATGTAGGCCTCCTGATGAAATACAACCAACGTGAATCATGCGGCGATCGCGTATTACTATACTTCAGCACTTTATCCCGATCGGAACTCTTAGGCTGCCTTGTTCGCTGGGGCTGCCTTTCTCTATGGCTACCGTTTGCTCCTGCGTCTTTCGTGCGTTCTATGTCCCTTAGATCATTGCGGCACCCTGTCATGGACCGTATCGGTAACTACGGTGTGTATGGCGCATCCCCGCTCCACTCCGCGCTTGCCATGCCCTGTATCAGACTGACACTTCTCTCCCTCAATTTAACTTGTTTTATACCCTGCATTAGGAATGATACGAACGCTTTGACAACGGTCCTTCCTCCTGTCCTGGAGGCAGTTGGTACCTAGAGGACGGACGTCGGACGAGGAATCAGTGGTGAGCGGACATCCCTTTATTATCCCTTCCTCTGTCCTCAGGAAGAGAGTGGGAGGACGTTGGACGAGTAATCAGAGGACTACCCTTAGCCATCTTTTCATTCTCCTGTCCTCAGTAGTCAATGAGAGAACGTTGGACGAGGAATTGGAGGACTAACCTTTGTAATCCGATCTTCCTGTCCTCAGGATGAGAGTGGGAGGACGTCGGACGAGGAATCCGAGGATGAGGAGGATAAGCCCGAGCTGGACCTGGCTGCCGGAAACAAGGACGCCTGTATACTGGAGGTGGGTGCGAACGGCGCAGAGCTGTGGCTTTAGTGGGCAATAGCTGCTCTGTGGCCTTAGGGTGCCGGCTGGGGCAGGGTGGGGTAAAGGGGTGTTGACTGTAGTAATTGTGGTGGTCCCGACTGACTGGTGGCCGGTGCTGGTAATATTACCTCTGATGTTCTGCGGTTATCTCTAGTGACCTCTAAACTTTGTTTTGTTGGGTTAGGCCCTCTCGGTCCGTTGAGACCATTGTAGAGCCGGCCGGAGGATGATAGGAAGTAGGGGGAGACATTGGTCTGGGCAGGCACCCTAGAGAATCACCCGGGCTGAGCCCTACCAGTGACCTCTTTTTGCTGCGCTAATGACACTAGTGTAATCTGTTAGCTGTGGCAACTCCTACTCGGATTCCACCACCCTGTTCCCGTGTATGAAACTCAGTGACCTCTGCCGACCTCTGTCAGATGGATGACAGGTCGCCGACCTTCTCTCAATGCTGATGAGTTAGTGACCTCTGTTGACCTCTGGACTCGGTGACCCCTGTTCACCTCTTGTGACCCCTGCTGACCTCTGGTGACATCTGGTGACCTCTTCTTGCCTCTAACGATCCTTGCTGACCTGTGGTGATCTATGCCGACCCCTGATGACCCCTGCTCCCTGTCAGATGGACGACACAGAGGACGCCGACCTGCTCTCTATGCTGATGAGCCGGCCACCACCGGAGCTCTTTGACTTAGTCTCGACAAGCAGTGTGCCCGGGGTGCCGGAGCGGCTGCTGCTGGATGACAGGCAGCTGTTCACGCGGATAGTGCGGACCAAGCTGAGCAGCGCCTCCAATCGGCAGCTGGCGCAGACTGTGGAGAAAATCATACAGGTGGGTGACGTGGGATGGTGGAGAAAATCATACAGGTGGGTGACGTGGGATGGTGGAGAAAATCATACAGGTGGGTGACGTGGGATGGTGGAGAAAATCATACAGGTGGGCGCAGTGGGATGGTGGAGAAAATCATACAGGTGGGCGACGTGGGATGGTGGAGAAAATCATACAGGTGGGCGCAGTGGGATGGTGGAGAAAATCATACAGGTGGGCGCCGTGGGATGGTGGAGAAAATCATACAGGTGGGTGACGTTGGACCGAGGCGGGTCTGTCGAGATCATACAGGTGAACGGGAGAGGGTAGAATAAGAATGGTGATGGTGATATTGGTGGGGAAGATCTTATATTATGTGTGAGCGCTGTAGTGACGAGGGACAGAAAACAGGAAGTTGTGCGTTACCAGATGTAGGGAAAAAATGTAAATTCGCTGGTCAGTTCGGACGAAACAAGCTGCCTCGTTGTTTGTTTCTGTCTAATGTCTCTTAGTGGGGATTTATGCTAAGGCCTTGCTTCACTTATTGCCATCTGGAGCATGCTGGCTGATTTCTCCTGTTACCTTTCTCTATGCCCAGTGCCTACTGACAGTACTGACCGACCGAACTAGAACGTTAGCTCACCAAAGAACGTTGTCCGACCGCTCCCTCTCCTCTTTCCATCAGGGCCTGTACTTCAAACTACGTAAGCTGGCGCCTTGCGCACTGTGCGGTCTTCGGTTCAGCGTCGATCTGCCCGAGGACGACGAAATCCAGATATCCGTGTATGGTACGTGGCGCCGCCTGGTGGCGGACGGCTCGTGGTTCTCAGATAGTGCCTGCTGGCATTTCTTTCACATCAGACTATTTGCTACGGGGGAACTGCAGTTATTGTGTGTCATAAACTTGCGTAACTATTTGTCAAATTATCGCTTTCATATATCGATAAGGTTAGATGGGAAGCATCAGGCGTTAGGACCTAGTCGGAAAGTGAGATCAGTTATCTAAGCACCAATCTTAGATCCAAGCAAACTGTCGTTGAAAGTCAGAAGACACGTATTTCCAGCCACCTGAGGTTCTGGTTATTATATGTCTGATATCCGAATTACATCTGCCGTTCATATTGTCATCCCCGCTGACTCCTCTCGCTCTAACCTCCCTTCCCCGTAGGTGCGGCGCTAAGCGTCAGCGCCCCTCTCAGCAAACAGGCGTCTCTGCGCTCGGCCGGCGCGGAGAACGGTTCAGCCGACGGCACAGGGGAGGGCCCGGGTGGAGACAGGTCGGCCGGTCGGGCCGGCAGTGTTACCGGCGCGCTCAAAGCTCAGGTGAGTGTAGGGTGAAGTCTAGGGGAGTATAGTGAGCAGTGGGAGAGTGGGTGCTGCGGTTGTAGCGGTGAAGAATTGTAACTTAATACCTAGGTGTTGTAGCTGAACCTGCCAGTCAGTTTACTTTCTATCCTAAATTTGCCAGAAATCCTGGCACACGTGAGGTTTTGGAGATATATCGCTAAGCGTAGTTGAAAGAGCAAGGGCAAAATTGTCGTGTTCGTAGTAAGTTTATCATGATGACTTTGATGCCCTACTTTGATGTTTATATGACGACTGACGTCGTTTTCCCACCCCCTCCCGGTCAGAACTCACTGTGGCGCGGCGACTATGACGTCATTATTACGCCACTGCCGCACGTCACCGGCGGAAAGGTGGAGCGCTGGCTGGGTAACCTCAACTTCTTCTTCATTCGAGAGTGCACCGGACTCAGAGAGGTGAGTGCCGTGGTGCTACCTGCTGTCGTAGCTTTAAAGACAGACGGTCGAAGACTGGTCGGAGCGTGAGTTATGAAGTTCTAAGTGGTATTGCCGGCTTGCCGCTCGGAAAGCCTGTGGTTCAACGTTTTGCAAAAACGTAAAACCTTCGGCCCTGACCCATGACCAAAAATATCCGGTTACCGACAAACCTGTTTTTCCTATATTCTACTAAAAATATCTAGATAACGACGGACCTGTTTTTCTATATTCTACCTCATCTGGCCAACAGTCTAATGTTACCTCACCTGCCGGTTGTTTTTCTCGCAACCCTTCTCCCCTCGCCGCCTCGTCCGCTCCCCGCCACCCCAGCTGTCCTTTCCCATTTTCCCTCCCTCCTTTCATTTATCTTCCTTCCCTTGCTTTCTCCAGACGTCAGCTGTCCCGATAGTCACCCTCTTGTTTGTCACCGACGAAGCTGTTTGTTCAGGTGTCCCCTAACTGCCCACGTGGTCGCGGTCTCCTTTGAAGCTCCTATCGTGGAATGCCGTAGTGTTTGCTGAGGGCTGAAGTGGACACCGGTTAATGGTAGGAGACGCTACCCCCGGTCAGCCCCCCCCCCCCACGTCACGGATGTTTTCGAAATTCAAAGACCATGTGGGACCCAGGTAGTCCACGGATAGGGTTTCCGGGCGCGTCAATAGCGAGGTCATTTGTAATAGTGGACCCCTGGCCGACTCCCGGCTCGGCGCGGCATATATGGTCGCCATGTGAACGGCTTTGGATAGATGATGTGACGGCTGACGCCGCCGGTGTCCGGGTAACAGTCTTCTGTTGTGCCAGCTGGTGCATGGTGGAATGCACCGGTGGGGAAAATGCAATCCTGCCATGAAGCCATGAATGTTTTCTCTCGTGCGTTTTTATCACAGCATGCCATGACTCCCAATCGGCGGACAATCCTTGCCACCCGAGCGTGAGCTGGTTATGACCGATGTGTCACATCCGTGTGGCCAGGAAGGTGGTCTTGACTAACGTCTTCCTCTTTCGGGACAGGTGGGAGGTCTGAACGGCTTCATGCAGGACCTGGTCACCGAGGTGCTGGCTGTGGTGCGCGCACACGTCACTTCGCTTGGAGGGAACGCACTCGTCTCCTACTTCATGTCGCAGTGTGTTCTGCTGCCCAACCCGCACAAAAACCAGGTATGCTACTCAGCTGCGAAACCCGCACAAATTACAAAATTTAGTTGCCGGTTGCCGTCAGTCTTTCGCAAAGAATCAGGTCCGTTACATGTATTATTTTGCTGTATGGATTTCATGAATCGCTGCAGTCCGCATATCTTCCGTGTTGACCATCACTTCATATTCCATTATCTCGTCGACAATATGCTTTCACCCCATTTATGCCAATGCGACCTGTCTCTCTACCTTCAATAAAAGACGACTGGAACTATTTTCGTGTGCCTTTCGATCGTCCAGGTTCGGTGTACTGGTGTTTAGGGATAGGGTTCTGACGGCACCCCCTCTCCACCCCGCAGGCGCAGTGCCTTGTCAATGTCGGCGGCGACGCAGTGCTGGTCGGCCACGCCGCTCGCTCCGACGACGGATGAGCACGGGTGCCACCAGCAGCGGTGGAGGCTCGCAATATCACAGCTCGGGAAGTGGGACAGTTTGAGCGCCCGTTCGGTCACGGGAAGACATTTCTGACCACAGGACTGCGTGAGTCAGGCCAGCGAAGTTTGTTTCTAAGATAGATTAGCGGCCAGTGGAGCTTCGTGATGGCTTAGTGACCGCGGAAGCATCCATCGCTCACTCGTTAAGTGCCCCGTTTATTCCGCTGTTCTCGCCTTTGATAGTCTACCATCGAAAGCATTTGCGATTGCGAGTGATTATAGAACGGTTTAATGTTCTGCCTTCAATATGTTATGGGTCCCTTGCAGTAACGGAGTGTCATGTTGAGCTCAATTTCGGGTATGGTGTAGTCAGCGAATTTGTCTCAGAGTAGATTGGTCAGTGACCTTCGGGCCAGGGTGGCTCGTGTTGCCATGACTGTTGGCTGTTAGACTGAGATGTGGGCCTTCTTTGACGCATGTAGGACGTCGGACCAGAAGAGTCCGATGGTTAACGTAAGTTAATGTTGAAAAGACTAGCACCAGTATATGCAATTAAAGACATCGAGCGCCGACCGTCGCAACGCCAGTTTGGTACGGTGCCGCATATCGTAATGTACGGCACTGTATGACACGATATAGTAATACACCGTGCAGCATAGTACGATATGCTACGATACGGTACGGTGGGTATACTATTGGGCCTGTATGGTGCGTTGGAACACTAAATGGTGCGGCCGGCCCGGCCTATCTGCCTGTTGTCGCCTTGTCCTGACGACCAGTCACTATTGCGTGACGACGGCCGTGCCGCGAAAGTGCAATATATTACCTTCGCTACACGCTCTTTTAGGGGCGGGACGAGACATAAAACACCAACTTAAAAATGGCAAGGAACTTGTTTAATATTAATACACTCGAATATAAAACATTGAGATGCGCTTTGCGTTTGTACACTCAACTCCCTTCACTACCACACATATTTAGCGTCTTAACGCGTAACTACCACACTACAACGCACAGTTCGTGACTTAGACAACGCTTGACTTAGACAACACATCTCTCAACGTGAGATAACAAATCTGATCAGCGGGTACTATCACAGATACACGGGGATCAGCCGGGTCCCATCCAGTGCCGGCCAGCACTCCACTGTTCTAGGGAGCCCCCAACCACCCAGGTTAAAGGAATATACACTTCGTCATGTTCAGCCTGCCTGAGACTACGGCCAGCGTCTAACCGTGTCACGAAATGTCGCGCAGGACATCGAACGCGCCGACTTGACATATTTGATAGCTACGGTACAACCGCGTCAATGAAAATCATCCGAGCAAGACTGCTACACGGCGACGATAGAGAGCTTTCGATATTGCTTTGTTCTTATTTAACATGGTATTGTTTTCCCTCTACATAGTATCTGTGGCTCTATCTGCCTGTCTGCATGTCGGTTGTATGTCACCAACTGCCGTCCGATCACTGATGAGCTTCTAACCAGTACCTACAAATATCGCACGAAATGTCCATCGAACAAACTGAAAGTAAAAAACAAAAGCGAAGAAATGAAAATTGGCGAGTACAGCTTGGACTTGACATCACAGGCCCTGCTGCTGCTGCACCGACGGTCTAGTTCGCCGTGGGTGGCATGCCCGGCGTTTAGGCTTCTCTCGAGTACTGAAGCGTTTCGCTATTGATCAGTCTTGTCTAAATACTTGTGCGTTAGACATACATCACATGGCCTGTTGACCGCCGTGTTCCCGTAAGTACTTGAGCCTGTAAGTACTAATTGAGCGCCCGGCTATTATTTACAAGTTTTAGGGCACCTTGCCGTCGAATGGGCTTCTCTTGAGTACTTGTTATTTGTATACCATCTTGCTATCAGCCGGGCTTCTCTAAAACAGTTCTGAGCCTGAATGAACTGTTGGTTTTTCTTTAAAGCATTTATGCGTCTCACCGGACTTCTGTTCAACGCTTGAGCGCCTTGTCATCCAGCTGGAGCCAGAAGTCCTTCATGTGAAGCTGAAGGAACTCTTCGAACTTCTCATCCAGTTCCCTCAGGTACTTGTGCACGGGTGAGCCCCTCTGCAACAAGAGGGAAGGAAGATTTCGGTTTAGTGAGAACCCTACAGTAACGCAGGAGGCAAACATTTAAGCTGATAACATACAAAGTAGTGTACACTACAAAACACTACCAGGAGAAACTTATTTTGCTTATTCAAACTCCATAACAAACGTATAACGGTAGGTATTAACAGCCCAGCTTAACGTTAGGAGTGCACGAACGGTTACTTCATCAAACTCCTCGATAACTCGGGTAAGATAGGCCGGCATCGCCCAGATCCAAAAGCCCCAGTGTAATAACTACTAACTTGGTCAGGACGTCTTACAGCTGTCAGTATTGACCTACCTTGAAAAAGCGGATCTGGTCGACCAGTTTTTTGGTGGTGCGCAGAAAGCCCATGAGTGTCTCGAACTCGTGGTTGAGCAGTCGATCTTTGATTCCGTCCAGGCAGACGGGCTTCTCGATGGCATCAAACTCGGGCAGTTTCTGTTGGTATACGCAGGCGTCAGTCACGGCACGCGACACAACCGACAGTCGAATACAGAAACACGAACGGTAAATTGGTGAGTGCAAAGTGAGTCATGCGAGCTGCACAGGTAGTGTGGTTGATAGAATCACACAGGAAATGAATTAGGAAATGGAAATTTGGGATGCAAGTTAAGAGCGCATGCCGATTCTAACGGGTCTCACCTTGCCAACAAACGGCTGACAAATTGTATAAAGACTGAGGTAAAAAGCGCCTCGCTTGCTGAAACCGTCAGAAACCTTTGCCTTGGCCCCCACCAGGATACGTTTCAGCCAAGCTCGGGAAAAGCTGCTGTTCAAGCCTCGCTTCAGCTGCGGATAGAGACAGGTTCCCGAATTAGGAGTAGAACTACTTGTAGAGACTTAGGTTTGGAAGAAGTGTTAGGGGCTAAAGAACTTTACAGGCAGACGACGTCTCTAGAAATATGAAAATGATTTTGCATAACGTGAACAGAGATATGGTACATTTATGGTACAGGCGAGAGTTAACTGTGAGTGCACAGGACGGAAAAGAAGTTTCCATGCAGAAATCAGGATGCAATGGCAAAAGGCGATGGTCACATGAATATAAGATATAATGTAGATCCAACGTAATGGTGTGAATCTTAGAGACAGGCTATGAGAGGGCGTGAGTGCGCATTCCAAGAGCAGTAAGCTCGATGCTATGGTGCAGTGCAGTGCATATGATGCCACACATGCGACAATATATGCACATTATACTATACAGCATATACAATAACGTTTATCATTCATGTACACCGCCAGCTGTCCTCCGGCTCCGGCTATGTACAATTCCTCCATTCCTCCGGCAGTTGTACAAAACACATTATACCCCCCCCCCACACACACACACATTTCCCCACCCACCGACATATTCTGGAGGCTTTTGAAGTACATGGCCGGGTAGTAGCAGGCATAGAGTTCGGTTAACAGTCGTCTGGCGAGCGTCATGTCGGTTTCGTTCATGGTATCGCCCGGCCGGCGGTCCAGCGGGCTCATGGGTGACGGCATCACTCGGCACATTAGGCAGAGCCAGCTGCTAAGGGCGGGGGAGGGATGGGGTTAGAGGTGATGTAGAAGTAGAATCATACGATAATTACATGGCGAAAACGTGCGGTAACACCCATGAAGCACACATAAGTAACAAACCATGGTAAAGCCAAGAAAGGTTCGGTTACGTCGTCCCCCCCCCCCCAAGCAGCAATACCGGCAACAGTACTATACAGGGTGTCCCATAAGTTCGTTCTCACATTATGTTTGCATGTGAGACAGAGTACATTGCGTTTTGGTATATTTATGACCCCTCAATGTGCTCCCCATTTAATAGGCAAACACATGAATACATGCTGCGGCATGCCAACCGGCATGTTTGGCTGCATAGCAGGCTTAAAGTTAACCCAGACTGACTTGACATGCGCCGTGAGCTCCTCGAGGCTGGAACAGCGCTACGCTTCGACGAGCCTCAACTTCAGCATAACCAACAAATTTTTATGAAATTTTGATCCGATGAGGTGCCTGGCATGTGATCTTGCTACAAACGCCTGTCACAGTCTCCTTGCACCGCTTTTAAGCTTTGCTTGACCTGTGCACTGATGCACTGTCTTGCCTGAAGATGGGCCTACGACCTCCCGGATGCCATTTTCTCCTCTATAAATGTGTTCATACTCGCGGTTCGAGTTCAGCTTGAGGGCTGAAATTCCTCCTAGATGTTCTTGGAAAAGCATTCTGCTTCCCAAAACTGTTTCTGGGTTGCCACTTGTAACTTGATCAACTCCAGAACGCCTATAACCCCACAACACAGTGACCCTGGCCTTTTGCATAGGAACATAACGGGACGAAATGAAGGCCTCCTCCTTCGCCCTTATGGGGTTGTTTTCGGGTTTGGACGGGTGTTTCATCTCGAACGTGGACTAGTTAGTCCAGATGACCTGGTTGATGTCATCAGCCCTCTAGTTTTGTTTAGCCTCAGGCATAACGAAACTCATGTTTGGCCATTTTAAGACGTTTTTGACTGTTTTGTGCCCTCCGGTAAGCAAAGCTTAAGTCACCTTGAGTTATGTACCCCGAAAGAACACTCTTAGACAGCTGGTAATCCATCCTGAAAAGTCTCTTTACCAACTTTCTAACCCTTTGACCTTTTTGATGGCCACTTTGACGCCACACAGTTTTGGCCACTTGGCTCATTCCTGAGGGCTGGCTAGAAAGAGGATAAACTTGCAGTGATTGACTCCCAACAAATCATCGGCGTCACTTGCTGACTGTGCGTCCAGTTAGCGATGGATATTGGCTACAGACTGGTAGGCCTCAATCACCCTCAATCGTCGCGAATGGTCACGTGCTGACTAAATGCTGAGACGTACCCGTATCGGAGACCTCTATGTTGCGGCGTTAGCCGTCTCTGTAGGAAGCGGGCTCTCTAGCAAAAACTATTTTGTCTACAGAAATTAGCTACTGTGGAGCATATTTCTACCAGCCATGGCAACCATGTAAGCTCAGTTACGAACCAATTTCAGCGTGCCTTTAAGCAAGAAAGCCTAAAAACGTAAAATTTAGGTGAGAACGAACTTATGGGACACCCTGTACATCGACTAATTCCATTACAAATCGACGATTCCCGAGTTCCAATGAAGTTAAGTGATCTTGAGCCCCATGAACCAGTACCTCCCTGGTTAATGCAACGAACCATCTACTCCCTATATCTCCTTCGCCTGACTCAGTACCCAGTACCCCTCTTCTATCTTCCCTACCCACGCCTTCTCCCTCTCTTGCCTCCCCGTCCAACTCTTCCCTCCTCCGTTTTACTTACTCTTCTCCTTCCTCGTCGCCGGCGGGTCCGACGTAGCACTCCCGATGGAAGGCACGCTCACACGAGTCACAGAGCAGCAGGTCACCTCCATCCCAGCAGAGCACGCAGTAGCTGATATTGGGAGACGTGGGACCGCGCGCCGGGGGCTCGTAGAGCATCCCCCGCGGGAAGCAAATACCCAGCGGGTCTCTGGCCGGCTCCCAGTCGAGGGCCGCCTCACCGTTGGCCACCGACTCGGGCACGCGCACCACGTGGGTGAGCTCCTCCGGACGCACGCCGGCCGGCGTCTGCCCACTGAGCGGCACCAGTCGGTCCGGCGGCTGCTCCGAGGACGGGCGCCGTCCGGAGGAGTCTGAGGACCTCCTCCGAGTAGTGCCCTCTGAGGACTCTCGCCGGCTGGGCCCCGGCTGGGGGCTGGCGGAGATGGTGGGAGTGTCGGCTGGAGTCGCT